CAAGGCTTCTACGACTCTTCCCAGGCACTTTGGAAGAAGACAGTATTTAGAATCCCTCAGACCCAAGATGAAATATCAGGTTACCAGGTCTGCTGGTTGACTTTTAATGGAGCTAGAGGACAAACTAGATATCAAAAATAATAAAAAAGCCATATAGCTGCACGACCTCATGTTTATTTTAACAGGCCACTCTAGATTTCTGGCATTTAACACACAAACTTATCTTCTTTTGAACAGCAAACAAAAACACACAGGATGATAACATATTTTGGATGACAAAACCATATATATGGATCAAATTCCTGAAATATAGGCCTTCCACCTTTTTTTTTTTTTTTTTTTAAATTTTAAAAAAGTCTGTCATGACCTAACACATTGTAGGATCAGACTATGTGACTACACAAGACCGCTCATGAACTCCTTAATTCAGGGATTAAGAGCAGGCACTCGGAATTTCCTACACCTCAATGGAAGACTCCACCTGAAACACACATAGAATTATATCAGAGAATTGATTCTTCTTAGGAATCACAGTTCTGATAAAAAGAAAAAAAAATAATGTATTTTGAAAGGTTAGAAGCACTAATTTGCATGCATAAAAAGTCTCATCTTTCTGCAGTTTGCTCCAAGGTTGTGATTTGGCTGTCAGAGTTAAGAGTGCCTTTTCTTTTCAACACTTGCTGTAGATTAATGAGCACAGCATTTACACCATTGTCCATCCAGGTTTTGGGGGGTTTTGTTTGTTTGTTTTACAAGGAACTGCTGATGCAAAACTAAAAAGGAAATAAGAGTTTACAGGACTAACAAACAGCAATCAGTAACATTTTGCTAATTTTGGAAACACTGTTTGGTAACTTAATAGACTTGCTAAAGAATTGCCATTGTGTCCAGACACATGGTCCTAATTTAGGGACACTCAGGTTAATGGCAGGCTATCAACTTAAACGTTCTTTGCATCAAGCCACTAATTAGCAGCCTATCCCAATCCATTCCTTACAAACTCAATACATTAGTAGAGAGAAGTGGAAAGGGCAGCCTCCTAAATTTGCATAAAAGGGGACCAAACTGACACAAACAGGTAGCTAAACATTCATAAGTTTTTTTGCATACAGGTCTAGCAGGAAGAATAGCTGGGTACACACAAGATTTGTGCCCAGTGCTGTCCACACACAAATGCATGCACTCATTTTTCATGAACTTCAGAAGAATCTTACAGGCAAGAGAAGTATCTTATTTAGACAACTTAGCTCTTGAACTGTACCTCTTACTATAAACTCTTACCACTTTGTTTTCTGTTAGACAAACACATTATCTTCAGTTTTTTGACTGATACCTTGCATGTGCACATGCACAGCCACATGCAAAAATAATGCTATTAGTGCGATGAGGAGGCTACAAAAATTGAAGATAGCAGGCCACATAGGAAAAAATTGTCTCAGATACATTCTTCTTTAACATCTAAGAAGTTCTTTGCAAACAAGAAAAAAAAAGGGGGGGGGGGATTTTAGGGTACCACACCTGAGATTAAAAAATTTCGGTCACAGGAAAAATTGAAATTGAGATCAAACCTACCGGGAACTACAGGAAAACTGCGCTATTATTGCCTATGGCAGGCATCTGAACATTGTGACTGGATTTTAATGGAGTTACTGTTATAAATAAAGGGCAGTGGGCAAAATGGGTAACCATCCAGGTTTGTACTGGCATACATTTTGTGATTTTGACCAAAGCAAAACAAAACAAAATTTCACTGTAAATCATAAACACTGCTATTAACCACAGTAGCAACAGAGAAAAAAAAAATTAAATAAAAACTGCCTGATTAAAAAGCCCAATAGAGCACATATCTGACCTTTGCCTTCTCCTTCTATGATTTCTATGACAGAAATGGCTTTATCTTCACAAGTTTGTTTTGGAAGAGAAAAGAATTGGAAGTAGTTTTAAACTAGAGGTAATTACAACAGGTATGACAAGGAGTATTTTGTGGCTTAACTCACTGACATACATATCAGGTTACTTTTCCAATATGTTTATTTTCACCAGTAGTCTGACCAAGTTATTTGACTTTATCAGCAGCTTACACGACTTACTGTCATAAGATACTATGATAGATCAGATCAGTTCACTTATTTCATCTGCAGCTTTCATTCGTAACTGATTGACCTGTAGAAAGCAAGCCTGCCCCAACACCGGACTTTAGCTATCTTTTTAATCAAACCACAATATTCCTATGTTAATCCACAGCAGTATTTTCTTACAAATTATAGATATCAGTCATATTAGCTGTTTCATTTATGCAACCCAGTCACACACATATTTTTACAGCATAATCAACAGAAATATTGCAGAATTATACCAGATCAAGTTTGTTACATCAGAATTAATAACATACACCCTAGTATTTCCAATACGTCACAAAGCCACGCGTGAAAACCAAACAGAACTTAACCTTTCTTGAACAGCAACTAATTTGTCCCTTTAAACTGGGGACCTGGGGGTGGGGTGGGGGGTGGCAAGGAAAACGCATCACGAGCATTCCTTCCTTCTAAATCAGATTTCCCAGTCTTAAGAGCTATGCAGACAAGCAATTGATTTTCACCTACTTAATGGGGGCCATTAGGCTGCATCTGGAATCACTGATAGGTTGGGGGGGGGGGGCAGGGAAGGTGTTTTCAGATTTGTTTATTTTAAGTTTAAATGACAAAAAGGGGGCTCTAATAGCAAACAATAAACACATTCTTATTTCAACTAAGGAAAACACTTTCCTTTAGTCTGCTTGTAAAGACATCAGAAAATTAAAACCGATTTAATGGGAATGATACTGAATCAAGCTTCACTTCTGTAATTGCCATCAAAATCACAGAAAGTCTCTGTAAGAGCTAGCATCATTCTGTATTCAAAGAAAAACATGTAAAAGTACTTTTCAGGAATCTGTGCATACTATGCTTTTCAGTACTAGATAGCTCAAAGGAATAAATACCTCCTCCTTTCATGTTTCTCCCTAAAAAGTAGTCTCTAGCAGAAAAAAAAAGTTTTCAAACATTGTCCTAGAAGTTACAGAACACTTAAAATGAAAGCAAGAGCACAATTAAATCAGAGCACTGGAAATTAAATGCCTATACCTCGTCAATGATCTAAACATAGTCTTTCTACAACACTCAACACTGACTCAGAAACACAACTAATATAGAAGTTTGTCACCTCACTCCTGCAGAGTAATCCCCCTAGGTCAAGGCTTAGGTCGTAACATTACAAGAATTAGGGCATATAATCCCACTAACCAGTAAATCTCTACAACTAGACATGTTTTGAATTAAAACCCACAACTATACACCATTACCTTTTCCAAGGGGAATTCAGCTGAGGCTGTAGCTTGTTTGCCAGCTGCAGTGTATTGCTCATGATTGGTATCAAAGTGAGAAAACACCATATTGGTAAAGAAATTCAAAGAATCATTAACACTGTTTCTCCCAAAAAGCTAAGTATTCTGGCATTCTCTCTTTTTCTGAGCCATCCAAGGAAAGAAGGGGAAACGTTACCTACAAATAGGGCAAGCTGCATTACCTAAGACTGATGTAAGAGCTAAAGTAAAAATGAAAGCTTTATTATTCAACAGAAAGTAATTCTATTCGTTCAAGAAAAGCAAGGGGGAAAGGGGACAAAATGCTTAGGTTGTGCTCTCCACAATAAGTTTTAGCTGCCTGAATGTCTTTTAAAACAAGCTTTTGAGAAATGACTGCCTTTAATATTTGTACTTAAAGAAAATAAAACCCCCTCCATTGTGTATGGATTTCCTGTCTTACTATTGCCAATAATTAAACTTGATGTACTTTCAAAGATCAAGACAAAACCACTTCTATATTTTAAGAGAGAAAAAGTAAAATGCTTTTCCAAGTATGTTACAATTACAACATTTGCTACACGTTTACATTAAATTAAATGTGGGAGATAGCCTCTGAGGAGCTTGCAAAATTATACAATTCAGAAGTTTTAAGATGCTTTTAAAAACAAAAACTCTAAAGTGTCACTAAAATGCTAGGTGTCATTTCGACTCTCAAAGTAACGGCTCTGAAAATGTAAGAGGCAAATGGGCAATGTTACTGCACAATTTCAAGCAAGTACTTAACTCCTCTACTGGCATTCTAAAAATTTATTTTCTTTAACCTTAACTAAAAACACAAATCTCACTTTGTTGTATTCATAAAAACAAAAATATCACTTCACTGTATTTGTAGAAAATAATCATACATAAAAAAGAACAAAGCACATTATCAAAAAGTTACTTTAGTTTCTCTTTTCTAAGTAGTAATAAATATACCCTTTACAAGAATGATACAAAGTATCCATTAAAAAAATTTCACTTATTTCCTATTACAGGCACAGCTTAAAAGTCTCTGAAAACAGCCATTAGGTGGACCTCAATCAAAAGACATTGAAGCCAAAAAATACGCAACATACAAGTACAGTTACTTGTTTTCCAGATGCACTGATAAAGGTTCAACATGAGAGAATTCTATCTGTCAAGACTTTGACAACTACACAGTACTAGAAAATTGTATTAGCCTTACATTTTCCTTAAGAACTACATTTTAAAATATATCCTTGAGTCACAAGTATTTAATTATTTGGCATTTTACGTGTGTTCCTCTTTCATACAGGGGCTAGGAAATACTTAAATTGAACAGGTAGGTTTGATTTTATCAAACAAAAACAAAGTAGCCATTCATTTTTAACAAAACAGAGAAACAGACAACTTGCATGTCAGCACAACTAGAGATACATAACACTTCATTGTATCGGGACAAATAGTCTAAGGCACAGAGGAAAACTGTGCTTAAAGTTAACAGAACGTGTTACAATGTCACATCAAAACAGCACATCTCTATTTAATCTTAATTCTATTATGACAATACATACAAATGAAAGATTACCATACGTCGAGCACGCGAAGACTAAGCTAAAACATCAAGACCTAGTTACATGAACTTTACATATCCTACCTGATCCACTGAACTGGCTGCTTCCTAGCGTAGTTGGTCTGGTTTTCCCACTGTTAACAGGTGGGGAAAACATCTGCAAAACAAGACAAAAAAAAGATGCGTTTAAATTGGCTTTGAAACTCTGTGCGATATGATTAATGTAAACTTAAAAAAGTTAATAGGAAAAAATTATTTGATTCATTTTTCTGTTAGAAAATAAACAGAATGTTGCAAGATTTGTGTTTAGACCTATAAAACCAATAAGCTAAAGTACTCCTTACAATTTATTAATACCACTAAAATCTCTTTTCTAAATGAGCAGAAACAACTTTAAAAAATAAAATTAAAAGGATACTGGCTACTATAGCAATTTAAAATACTAATATATCTTAAATTTTACTACTCAAAATATATTTCTTTCTGATCTGTGAGTTTAAAGTCACTGGATAAAGACAGCTTTTGAGAGGCAGTAGTTTTCTATTATGTTTATAAACAAGTACATTTTTGAAATCTGTTAAAAGTATCACACAGTAAACACCTATAATTTTCTAAGCCAAAATTACTGTACAAACTGTCAATGAGTGACCTCTGTTATTTACGGGTATTAAATTTTCTTTCGGTGTGTTTAAAAAAAAAAAAAAAGCCCAAGTAGCAGTGCCACACACCAGCTTAACAAACGTGAATTACTAGATTATACCATCACTGGGTCAGCCTGATTTTAACCAGTTAAACCAATTGACCCAGCTGGTATTACAGTATTAAATCTGGAAGTCTAGACATTACATCAAAGTTCAGGTGTCCAACTTGGCTGAGACGGCCCCAGCCGAGCCCTGCACGCTGCTGCCCCTACTCCTCGGTTCGCTTTACCACGCAGAAGTCACGCGAAGACCTCGGAGGATATCCTACCGCACTGAAGTCCAGCAAGTCGCTCAGTTCCTTGTCGGTTCCTATAGCGGCCATCCTCTGCTGCTGGGAATTCATCTTCCTCCGCTCACCTTCTAGGGCACAGGGAGAGAGGCACAGGCAGTACTTCCCCGCCGGGCTGGTGCCCAGCCCCGGCACTGGGAGACCGGCCCTCGGCCGAGAAGGGCCTCTGGTA